TAAAAACTTCCAAGTTAGTTTTTCTCCATTTGCTCTCAAGACTACAAGTTTTTTTCTTGAGAGGACAGTGAATAGTGTATTAGTAATGTAAGCGAGATTAGCGGCAACCACGCTGGCGATGCTAGCGGGCTATATGCTAATAGCGGATTCGGGAAGTCAAAATTAGAACTAGTGATAACAAGGCACTCTGATTGTTTTTGTTGTAGAATACGATAGGGGATATATTCACACGTTATAGAAACTAAAATTATGGTGTTTAAAATTGATTTGGTATGGTGTATAAAATTGATTTTAAGATAAAAAATTAGATGACAAAGAATTAACTTGACGGAGCTCAAACTCAAAACACACGGCAGCAACAAACAGGAAGTGACAGAACATAAGTAACCTGAGACGTTTTCCACTGTAGCCGCTCCCGTCAGTTTTGTGTTCTGCGCGCGATTCAAATGGTCCGCTCTCCACCAAAATTTAAAAGCTGCTTTTGGTTAATGAAAATTTGTCAAAAGAACTCGCGGCTCGACTGGACTAGAAAGTGATACGACTTTCAGTTTTATGCACGTCGCCATTTTTGATTTTACTTTGGTCACTGTCTCTTTGGCTACTAAAGAATACGGGCTTTACTCCCGTTACATGTTCATACAGACAGTATTCTAAACACAACTGTAAGCTGCTGTGTGAACGTGACATTTCGAGACTCACACCTGTAAAGATAATGTGGTTGTCAATCCCAAAAACTGACAGTGTGAACCCAGCCTATGTTTCTGTATTTGTTTTTGACTACTCAAGGTTTTCAGTGGAGCACCTGTCAGAAGTTGGAGATTTCATCCAGATTCTTGGTGAATCTAAAATCTTGGGAGCACTGAAGTAATTTTTACTTTTATTACAGCCACACAGAATATAAAACCAGTCTTTGTCATTTCCAATTTAAACTACTTCAGTCTGTGTGCACTGAATTTATTTAATACACAAGTTTCACAATTTGAGTTGAATTACTGAAATAAATGAACTTTTCCACGACATTCTAATTTATTGAGATGCACCTGTATTTACATAATGTTATCTTTTATTCCTACTTGGTAGAGTTCAAGAGGATGAATACAGTGCTGAGAGTCCCAGATGGTCACTTGACTTGTCAGTCATTCATGGAGATGTCTTGTAAGAAACTATTGCACATAAACTGTAATCCTTCTAATCAAGAACAATTTATAGAATAATTATATAGTCTTATAAAAATATTAAATGTATGTTTTCAAACACAGTGTACAGTGCTGTTATCAAATGTTTCTGTGTTTCTGTTTATTTCAGGTTGACTTTGAGCTCCTCAGAGAAGAATCCATCATTTCCAGCAGTCTTAAACATCAGTCTTACATGTCCACAATCAGAGATATCCAGCACTGACTGGACACTCTTCTTACAGAGACTCAGCAAGGCAGCAAAAGTAGCAGAAGTGTAAGGAAATAGTGATTTTGCCATTAACTCTATTGATCTCATTAGTAAATTTGCTGTTATTCAAATGCATTGTGGTCAAATATATTTTTGCAGCTCGTCAGCTCTTGATGAGTGTGTCAGTTTGCTGCTGTCTTCATTTCACTCTATGGGTTTGAAGACGTTGGATCTGAAGCTGTTCATTCTGAATAAGAGCTGGGCTTCTGGGATCATTTCTCTCGTTCAAACCTGCACCAGTCTACAGCAGCTCAGGTAAGAGAATTTGTTTGTGAGAGTGATGATTGACAGAACAAAATATTAATTACAGGATAAAGTATCCCCACAAATCTAAATGCAGCCAATCCACATTATAGATTTGTTCATCATGAATAATACTTTAAACTCTCTGTCTCTGTTCTGCAAGCTGATTGAAAAGTTATTAACTAAATTTGAATAAATTAAATGGTTTGATCTGAAAGCATTGTTCTTGTACAAAAAAAATTTAATAGCATGTATATTGCTTAATCACTATTTGTGTAACTTTAATATTGTAGTGTCAGTGTCACTGGATTGCTTTTGGAGGAGGGACTCATATTACTGAAGAAATCACTGACAGATCCACACTGCACTGTGATTGTTAAAGGGTTTGTGTGCTTAATAACTGTGCATTTGTCCAATGATAAACAGTTTCAGAAAGCTCATTGTATTCCGTTTTAGTAACAAAACAAATGAATTGGTTATACAGTGTGTAAATAATAGAGTATAAAATCCTCAATTCTACCATTACTGACAACTGATCTCATTTCTGAAATGTTTTTCCATTTAGTTGGTATGCACTGTAGCTTATTAAATTGGGCATTTTAAAATTAGTTTGTAAAAATTACTTTGTCTTTCTCAAGGTGGAAGTGCAGTAAACCCACTGACCAGTGCAAAGAACAGGACTGCAGTCACAGCTGTAATGAGAAAGTGGAGATTCACCTCAAACCAAAGGTTTTAGAAACACTGGAAAAGTGAGATAATTTTTGTTTTATAAAAAAGCTTTTATATGTTTATCTTTCATGCTTTAGTCATTTAATTTATCATTATCATCTCTGTTCTCTAGTCTTACAATATCTGACTCTGAACCGTCCGGACTGAATCTTCAGCCGTTCCCAGTGTGTCAGTCTTGTGTTCACATTGTTGACTCTGATCAGTGGGTTCAGGTGGAGCCGTCAGTCTGTACAGATGAAGGAGGCTCAGAGTTCAGGATCAGCACTCCGGCGGGTCGATTCGAGTGCAGCAGGACCAGAATGCGATGGGTCTGTGCTGGTGACGTCACTCTCCAGTACAGTGCAGGGGATGGACGTTCCCTCAGAGCAGAGCTGGAGAGACTTCAGTATGAGCGAATTGGTCCTGTGATTAATGTGACAGTGATCTCAGGGAAACTGGAGGAGGCCCATCTGCCTCATTACGCTTGTTTGGCAGTGTCAGACCCCTCTCTCAAAGATGCTGTGAAGCTCCTCAGCAAAAGCGATGAAGGAATATCTTTACAATCTGTAGAGCTGACCCGTTATCATGCAAAAATAGTCGAACCATCCTTCTCTCTCATAACTCTAATCATAAGCTGGTTCATAAAGTGGGAAGAACACTGTGATCTTCTTCTCTACATGCGGTGTAAAGAGCCTCTCTTTCTTCACATCTACTTTTTTCCAGTGCATGACACTTTTTCAAAAGAAAAAGTTGAGCAGCATGAAAAATCAAGTCTTTTGATCAGCCATCCCAGACCTGACAGACCATTTCGGTTGAAAACGCCTCACCTTCTTGAGGTTCCTGGTGCATCTGTCCATCCCATAGAGGGGATTTCATTTAGAACTGATATTGACCCAAACTTCTTCAAAGTCAGGCAACATCAGGATGGTCACATACAAATGAATCTTATCAGAGAGGTGGACAGGAAGTCTGTGTGGACTGCCACAATATGGAAAGAAGAATTTGGCCAGTTAAATCCAATGTAAGTCCAAGATGAGCCGCAACTGAATTCTGATAATGATAAAGTTCTTTTTTTTTAAAAACACTGATAAGCTCTCATACAAAAAACAAAAAAAAGGCTAAAAATGTGAAGAGCATTGTAGATAAACTGAACAGAATAGCTTGACCAGTCAGGATAGTATGAGAACTACAGTGTATTCAAGTGGTATGATTGCAGATGCTCAATTCTTCTCGATAGCCAGCCAACATACTGTATCATGAAATCATGTTAGTTATCTTTGAAAAGATGCCAACAATGTTGCTATTTAGTTATAAAATGTAAGATAGAACTGATGTGTGAACTGAACTGAAAATATATGAATTAAAAACGACAGGTGTTGAACTGCAGTGTTTAACTTCATTTTAATGTATCACCCAGTTCATCATGGTTTAGGTCAATTTATTTTATAGTTTAATTTCTTTTCAAAAAGATAAATGATTGTACCCCATTTGTGGGCACTGGATATAATGCTGATAAAACATTGCATGCATTAATCACACTATTGTCAGATGGGTTTGCAACTTGGACCATCATATTGTGCTTTACCTTAAATTGATGTTGTTTTCTCAAATTGGAACTCGCCTCATTTATGTGGGACAGCAAAGCGTTGAAATTAGTAGATCTCAACAACTTCACACTAATTAAAATCTTAATAGATGATTTTTTTGTATTTTATATTTGTGGGTTTTGCAGGTTAGGTGAGCGCAGCCATATAGAAGAGGAGCGGAATCCACCCAAAGGTTATATCTGTCTGTCTGTCCTTATAGTTCTGGAGAAGTTTTTCAGCTGTGTATCAGCTATTAGGATAAACGATGTTTGTATGTGAATTGACATAAATGATGTAGACACCAGTTCTCAGATGCTGCATGTTCCTGTAGTATAGTAGAAGAATATGTCATTAAGCAAAGGCTACTTCACTCTGTTCTGCTCAGGTCAGTTTGGCTTGTTTGAGAACAGGACTGTCTGCTCAAAATAGTACTTGCATAAAGAAATGTAAATAGAAAAACCTGAGTTGGAGAACATGTACATGTCTTGGGTATTTTTGAGATCTCGATACTCTAATTTTTTTTTCTTGCATATTTTCTGTTATGCTTTGTACAAAAAAAAAAACTTGAGTTATTATAATATTACCTTCACGTAAACCTTTGCATGATGAGTAAAAGTTCCAATGAAACACATTTCTTTTCTTTTTTTCCAGAGACCGAATTTGTGGATGGGAACTATGCAGCACTCATTCAGAGGGTTACCTTAGTAATGGCAATAGCAGATGAGCTAAAAAATAAGGGTATGATACATGATGAAAAATATTCAGAGATCAGAGCAGAACAAACCAACCAGGGCAAGATGAGAAAGCTCTTTGAAGTACTAAATTCTGGAGGTAACAGAGTGAAAAAGGCCTTTTATTATGTTCTGAGAAATCATGAACCAGCCCTCTTCAGAAACCTGGGTAAGAGAATCTACAGTTGGTGTTAATTAAATAAGTTTATAAACCTAAACCTACCTGTATGATACACTAATATAACCTGTCCTGCGTTTGATGGTAACATGTGGTGACAACTGAAAACTTGAGCAGCCTATATCTGAAGAATCAGCTACACAGTGAGTGCACCCTTTTGTCATTTGCATATTATATACTGTTTTAGTATATATGTCAAATACTTGCAGTAATGTTTTAGCTTAAGACCAAAGCTGATTTGTAATTTTGTACAGATTGCTGATATTCTGTACTGGGTGCTCCGCAGACAGTATTGTGCATTCCTGTAGTGCAAAAAGCTGCATAAATATATTATTTAGTCAAATGTATTTTGAGATTAAAGTTTAGAACACACCAATAAGTAGAGGGAGAGTGGAAACAAGGGGCAGTTGCAATTTAGCTTATTCCTTCTATCAGGAATGAGCTACAGTAATGATACTGCATATGCATACTACACACATGCTCAATATCTCATCCTTCCTGGAAAAAAAGCAGCCACATGTCCCCCAGCATGCTGTCATTATCACAACATTGATGTAAATGCTTGCCATAACATAACAAAATTGTAATTTTATGGATTAATAGAAACCCTTTCAATAGTCGGGTATCTCCCCTTTTTAAGTAAATGTTGACTAATTTCCTTCTCTATTACCTTCTCTCTATCACTCACACATAAGCTACATAACATGCGCAAACAAACAAACGACACACAAATAATGACTTTCCTGCATATCCAGATGTACACCTGGAATACTTTCCAACATTCACTTACACACACAGAGAGAGAGAGTTGAGGTGCTGGTTGGATAAACTGCTTAGAGTAGTCTTAAAAGTTGGTAATCTAATTTTTTTTCTTCAAGAATGAAGACCCCTGCACTCAAGAAACAGAAGACGACCCCTGCAACTACGACACAGGAACAGATGTGAGAAGACAACAGATGCAAGATGCAGCCACTTGAACATGAATGAATGCTAAAAAAATGCAGTTAAAGGAGTTCAAAGTTTTTTTAGAAAACTGATAGGATTTTTTTTTTCTTTTGTGAGGCACAAAAAAAAATTAAGCAATGTGCATCCAAACAGGGCTGAGACTTTGTTTCAAACTGGACAAAAGCATAAGACACCACGAATGGCTTCAACCCTAAAATGTTGCGATTAGATCCATAAACTGTACACGAATTCGTGATCGCCTCAGTAGGGATGGGCGTATCGATACTCAAACAAAACACATTGATACTAATGTGCTCTTTATTTACCAGTGGTTTTGTTTATTTAACAACAACAATAATAATAATAATAATAATGTGTACAATTTGCATTGAATTGGACGAATAACCTTTGTTAGCGAGTAATTGTGTAGGATAGAACTATTTTCCTGCTCATCTGGACACGCAAATGTTGCAAGACAGAACTCATCAATCACAGAGAGCATTCACTCACTGCTGACAGTGCATTCAAACAGGGCTGCGTTTCCCAAAAGTATCATAAGAAAGCATTAAAGCTCAGAGAATGGCAGCCCTGAACAATGCTTTTCAGAGGACAGAAGAAAAAAAACATAAACATTTGAGTCATTTCACAATAAACTCTTTGGTCATTTTTGAGCGAGATGCTAACGGTCTAATCAGATTCAATGATCTATGCTAAGCTACAGCTAAAAGTGCTACTGCCAGACACGGAGATCGGCTGAATGGATTCGAAAACAGTAAAACTCAACTGTTTAACTCTAGGGGAGTTGGAAAATGAGCCTATTTTCAAAAATAGTGGAGTGTTCCTTTAAACCAAGCTATTGTATGGCTTCAGATCACTAGGACTTTTGCGTAATTTTTAAGTTTTAATTTTTATTTTTTAATTAATTTTTAAATGCGATCAACTATTTTCTTCAAAACACGTCCTTTGTGTTAAGTGGAATTTTATGTTTGAAATGACGAGGTTAATGATGACTGACAATATTATTTATTGGGTAAACTATCCCTCTACATCAAAATGCAGCAATTCCACATTATAGATTTGTTCATTATATAATATCCCTCCCTCTCTGTGCTGCAAGCTAACTGAACAATCACTAACTAATGCTGGGTACACACTAAAAGATTTTGAAAATCTTATAAGATTTTCAAAATGTGAGAGACCACAAACATTAGGACAAACAATCCTAGATTTAACTGTTGCTCCTATTAGGAATGAGAATGTGACGTAACGCCGCGTTGAGTTCTGGGAAACTGCTTTGTTTATCCGCCGTATTTGCAGGATAGCGCTGCCGTTCCGCTATTGAGTTTAGGGCAGTATTTGATTGTTTGTCGTGATTGTGAAAAATGTCACCGGTGTATGTCATTCATACTGCATCGATAATTGCAATAGTTTGTGGATGGGAAATACGCAGCGCTTGTTCAGAAGGTTACCTCAGTGATGGCAATAGCAGATGAACTAAAAAATATGATACATGAGGAAAAATATGCAGAGATCAGAGCAGAACAAACCAGCCAGGGCAAAATGAGAAAGCTCTATGAGGCGCTTAATGCTGGAGGACACCGAGTGAAAAATGCCTTTTATTATGCTCTGAGAAATCATGAACCATACCTCTTCAGAGATTTGGGTAAGAGAATCTACAGTTGGTGTTAGTTTAATAAGTTTATAAACTTGAACCTACCTGTGGGTAGTCTAATGTGAGCTGTCCTGTGGCTGATATCAGGTGGTGAGGCAATGGATTACATCGATAACAACCAGCTCCAGTTAAACTGAATAGTGAATGAAACCTGTTTTCAATTGCATGTTATGTAGGCTACTGTATTGAACACTGATATTAAAAAGAAAATGCTGGCAGGCAAAGCAAATAAGATTGCTGATATCCTGTCCTTGAGCAAAAACTAGCATTAATACATTGTTCAGTTAGAAGTCTGTTTTTTAGATTAAAGTTTGAAACACCAATTAATAACAAATATTAAATACAGTCTAGTCCACAGTGTTAGTAAACATCCTGTAATCTTTCTTTACCAAATGAAGCCCCCTGCACCCAAGAAACTGAAGACCCCTGCAACCAAGACATGGAAACAGACGTCACTTGGAAAAGCTGAAGATGAAGGAATGTAAAAAAAATGCTGTTAAAGGAACAGTTCAAACAAATTAAAACTGTCATCAGTTATTCTCCCTAATGTTCACTGAACACCTTTTCCCATAATTTTTGAACTTTGTAATCTGCAAAAATGTCAACAATTCTTTGTTTTTCTGTCAATATGGGGGTGCTGTGTGTACATTAATGAAGAAAAAAAATTGACTTAAATGATTTTAGTAAATGGCTGCAATATAACAAAGAGTGAAAAATTTAAGGGGGTCTGAATACTTTACGTACCCACTGTGTGTATATATATATATATATATAGGTTTTCCTTTTGTAGGTGAACATTTTTTTACTTTTTTATGCCGTTTTTCATGCTAAAATCACAATAGCTTATACATCATCATCCATAGTTATTTAGCCAAGTAGATTCTACACATTGTTTTTTCTAAACTACATGTGTTGAACTTGTGTCATATGTACACCTACTTTTTAAAGAATTTTTGATGGGCTTTGAAATCAATGAAAATCATCCACTGACTTGCATCAGTGATGTCATAATTCTTGTGAATTGTCATATACTTGCTTTTATGTAATTTAGAGCTGCATTTGTAATGTTGAATGCATTTATACTGTTCATTGTCTTTCACACTGCATTGAAATAATGTGCTTCTCTTTTCACTGGATTCCCTTCTCATTGATAAATTGATAGCTTTGTGAATTGGTTTACACAGTTCATTTTTTAATTGGCATTACATTTCTTAACTGGCAAATCATTTAATTTGATTATTCTGGATACTGATATGTGACTATGTAAAACCAGTCATAAGGGTCCATTTTTCATCACAATATTTGGCCGAGATACAACTATTTGAAAATCTGAGGGTGCAAAAAAATCTAAATATTGAGAAAATCGCCTCTAAAGTTGTCCAAATGAAGTTCTTAGCAATGCATATTACTAATCAAAAATTAAGTTTTGATATATTTACAGTAGGAAATGTACAAAATATCTTCAGGGAACATGATCTTTACTTAATGTCCTAATGATTTTTGGCATAAAAGAAAAATCAATAATTTTGACACATACAATGTATCTTTGGCTATTGCTACAAATATACCCCAGCGACTTAAGACTGGTTTTGTGCTCCAGGGTCACATACACAACAAAATTATAAACGCAACACTTTTGTTTTTTGCCCCCATTTTTCATGAGCTGAACTCAAAAGATCTAAGACTTTTTCTATGTACACAAAATACCTATTTATTTCAAATATTGTTCACAAATTCAAACTGGTTACAAGTGTCTGCTATTAAATGGTGTAGATGTTATCTTTGCAGCACAAACAGAAAATGCGTGGCTTAGGTTTAAACACGAGAAGTGAAATGATACAATTCACCCCATAGTCCGGATTAGTTGTAACACACCCTGGGGTGAGATGTTACATTATGATATCCACCAGTGTGAGATGTAACATTATGCAACAATATAATGACAAAAAAAAAGGTTTAAAATGGATTTTTTGTTCAACACTGACTTTCCAACATAACTGGTGTGTGTTAGCATGTGTATTACAATAGCATCATGATAATAAAATTGAATAACATGCATGTGTGTGTGTTAACTCATGTTTGTTAATGTCAGACTCAGACATACCCTTACCAAAAAGTAGTATACTTCAAGTTTATTTTAGCAAGTATACTTTATGTAGTAAGTATACAAATATCAGTGTACTAGTAGTATACTTGTAAGTATACTATTTCAATACTCCTTGGGACTAAATTGGCCCACTTTCTAGTATATAAAAGTATACTTTAAGTATAACAGTAGTAAACTTTGAGTACTCAACTAGTTTACATCAACATTTTTAGCTTGTACTGCAACTATACTAAAAGTGAACTTATAGGTATACTGGTAGTTTTCTAATTAAATACTTGTAGTAGCATTTTTAGTACACTTTGAAGTATAATCTCAGTAAACTACTAGTTTAGTAGTTTTATACTGCAAGTATACTGGTAAGTTTTCTTTAAGTGAACTTTACATCATACTTTAAGTATACTACTATGTCCCTATTTAGGTATTAATTTGTATATATTTTGTTACATGAATATCTGAACATACAAAACACCAAAAGAACAGGGTATCTGCTTGTAAACAAAAAAAATTCATTCTAGCTTCATGCATTCTTTTTTTAAACACTTGAACGTGGATAAGTTTCATAAATAAAAAAGAAAGAAATATTTCCAGGACATTATCCATTATTCGTTGCAGCCCTGTAAGACAAAAACACAACATATAGTGTATAATCTAATAAAATGCAGGTAAAAAAAAAACTTGTGAAAACTCAATACGGAAAATTCCTTCATAAGTAGATTGTGCCCTATTTTTACTGACTTTTCTGTAGCATACTAATTACTAATACACTTAAAACTGTATTGGGTGCGTTTTGTTTACTATCTAATAAAAAAAAATGACTGTAATCGTTAAAAAATGTGTAAGTGTTCAATAATTCAATGTTGTATTTATAATTAGTTATTTATATTTCAATATATATTTCATTTATATTATTTAACAAACAAATCTAAATTAACATGATATTTGTCGTGATTACGTAATAGGCGTCATTTAGCGACTTTTAGCAACAAATCGACCTTCTTTTAGCAACTTCACCTGAAAATCCAGTTGGCAAAACTGACCACACCCATCCTAGAAAATATGTTCTACACTCACAGAAACCCAGCACCGAGGAAATATATGTTCCTTTGGACTTCGATGTTGGATGTTCTATAGGCTGGACGCGATGTCAGATCACGGTAAGGTAGAACATTATATTGAGTTTTAAACGCTCACGTCTTCTCCTCAGCAGGACTCGAGCATCGCGTCCGTTATATCGGAAACTCTTGTTAGCATAAGCGAGTGCATTGAAAACAAAACGAGAAAAAAATGTTGTTAACAATAGGTTTTGATTTATTATTTAATAAAGTTACGTCTTACTCTGTCCCCCTTTTTGTTCAGTTCATGTCCTGCGAATAGACTGAACATTTTTTCTTTGGATTGCAACTCACAGGGTATGGAGATTATGCCCACTGTCTTTTTTTTTTTAAAGCAGGCTTACATCTGTTTCTGTGTGTGTGTGTGTGTGTGTGTGTGTGTGTGTGTGTGTGTGTGTAGGAGAGAGAGAACTATTAGATATGTTTGAAAATCTAACAGCAGCATCAAATGTAACTGATTTTAAAAGCAAGTATGTCTATATTGTACGGACAATATGTCTGTACCATATTTTTGATTTTCATGGGAATTTATTATTTACAAAAATGTCAAATTTAGCTCTGTCCTACATTTTGCACACAACCCTGTTACCACGTTATTATCCTTCTTCAAATAAAGCTACATTCCACGTTTATGGTAAAAACTCATTTATAAGTAACTACAAACCACTGTTTGGTGCTGGACTGAGTCTGAGTGCGTAATTTAGACTATAGGCTATTTGTAACTTTGTCTCCTGTGTTTTTATTATTCTACATTTATTAATAGTTCAAAACCAAAATGAAGATTCCGTCCATTTATCAACCTTAGCAAACTCCAAAAAGCCATTAAAGTACCATTTTTGCCTAACATATTCTTTTGTGTTCCTCAAGATAATAAAACAGCCTTTAAATGACATGAGTGAGTATAAATGATCAAAGTTTTTTTTTTTTTTTTTTTTTGCACAAACCATTCTTTTAATCACAAATCGATGTTGTAAATGTTTAGAAAAAGGCTTTAATCATTTGGAGATGGGAAGTAATCTCTTCATGTCTTCTTCTCCAGGGGCCCGATATGTAGACACGCACAGGGCTGAGCTCATCCAGAGCGTCCAGAGAGTGATGGTGGTGACACGCAAGCTGCTGTCAGAGGGCAGGATCAATGTGGAGACATATTCACAGATCAGGAGAGCTGGGACCAAACAGGACAGAATGAGAAAGCTTTATGAAGCACTGGATGAAGGAGGAGCTGAAATTAAATCTGCGTTTTACGCTGCACTGAGGATGTGTGAACCAAACCTTGCTTTCCTGGGTAAAGATACCACAGAAAATGATAAATTCAAAAGTTTACCAAGAATATAAGTAAAGAAACGTGCCATATCATCCCTTAAGTCAGCTGGCAGAGGAAGGGATACTGGATGAAGAAGTCCTCTTTGACAAGAAGACCGTGTTCAAGACAGGTTTAGATGCTGAAAGTAGCCTGTTCCTGCATGATCCTGATATTCAAAATTTATTCAGGAGAAGATCACTCAAGTTTATGCACCTCAGCTTTCAGGAGTTCTTCATGGCTCTTTATTATATGTTTCTGAATGAAGAAGAGTCCCAGAGGAACATCAGAGACATCTTAGCTGCTGAGAGAGTGAAAGGTAGACTAACAAATTCCATCGCTTCGGTGCTTCTGTTTCTCTGTGGTCTCTCTAATGAAGACTCAAGCAACTCACTCTTTGAAAAGCACAACTGGACTGTTCCTTACATCATAAGAAAAGAAATGGAGAGCACAATCCTTACACTTCAGGATGAAGATAATCTATTTGCTCTCCAGTGTCTGTATGAGCTCCACGATGAGGAGTTTGTGAGGAGAGCTTTAGGAGATCGGGTATCCATGAATCTGTCTAACATTTCTCTGAGGAGCACAGACTGTTGGGTGCTGCTGTACTGTCTTCAGTGCTGGCCACACATCAGATACCTGAACCTCATGTACTGTGATTTAACAGCTGAGAAACTCAAGATTCTTCAGCCAGCACTCTGTATGTGTGAGACTCTGAGGTCAGTATGTTTGCATGGAGAGCAGTTTGTGTGATGTACAGTAAATACTTACCTGTACATAAGTATGATCATAAGTGTTTATATATTGCTGGATTGAGGGGTCATAAGATGAACAACCAAAATGTCCTTGATATTTTGAGATAAAATAGTTAACTGTACTATGAAAACAGCCTCATTAAAGAAAAAAGACCATATTATCGAAGGATAATACACTATATTTATATATAATATACTATATTTGGAAATTTGTGTTTTCATAGAATGTTGTTTACACAGAAAATGTAAAAGTCATGCCAGTAAAAAAGGCCCTTTTA